CCACTAGAACAGAATCAACAGAAGGGGTATCAACACTGACATCTCTCACATAAGCTAAATACGCGGCACACCCCTTCTCAACCATGCGTTGAGCTTTAAGAAAAGAGATAACTCTACTGGGAGTGTGGTCTAAAGTACCACTCCACTCAATACGCGGACTACCTGGCATAGCCAGCGTGACGGTCTTGGCGTGACAATCAAGAATAGCAAAATGGGGCGACAACCAGTCCATGCCCAGAATAATGTCAAAATCCACCATACCGAGTAACAATAAATCCGCTCTGGTCTCAAAACCACGAATAGCAACCAAACATGACCGATAAATGTGGTCCACAACAAGAGAATCTCCCACAGGAGTAGAAACATAAACGGGGGCACTCAGAGAATCCCGAGGCACACCCAAATGTGGAGCAAAGTAAGAGGACACATAAGAATAAATAGAGCCCGGATCGAGTAGAACCGATGCCTCTCTGTGACAAACCAGTATAATACCTGTATTGACGGAGTCGGAGGCTACAGCCTCAGTACGAGCAGGAATAGCACAATATCTGGCCCGGCCCCTCTCTCGAGGGCGACCTCTATCTCCCCGACCTCCGCCCCTAGCCGGCTGGGCAGGTGGGGTAGCAGCGGGAGCTGTAACCATGGCCTGAGAACTCTGAGGAGCACGCTGTGGCTGAGCAGTCTGTGAAGATGCACCCCTACCAAGTCTGAGGCAGCCCCTAACCATGTGGCGTGTATCACCACACTCGAAACAAGCTTTGGGAGGACGCGATGGCTGTGACTAACTAGGGCTAGGTTTGCTGGACTGACCTTTGGAAGCACCCCGCGCAGGAGGCGCGCTAGAAACTGGAGGTGCATAGTAAGGCTCATGTGGTGTAGGTGAAGCTGAAGCACTGCTGGCTGCTGCAAGAGCTGAATGAATAGGGCGACCCGCATAACCTCTGCCATAATGACCTGCTGAAGGGTTACGGGCACCAGAGTAGTGACCCGACTCTCGAGACCTCTTGGCCTCCCTCTCCCCTCGCTCCCTGGCGAGCATACCCTCAATCCTCCTAGCAATGTTCACTACCTGCTGATAAGGAATGTCCATCTCCAACTCTCGAGCCATGCTAGATCTGATGGGTGGGATAAGGCCCTCAATGAACTTGCGAACTCTCTCTCGAACTGTAGCAACCAAAGCCGGTGCATGCCTGGCCAACCTGGTATAGAGGATAGCATACTCCAAAACGGTCATAGCACCCTGGCGCAAATGCTCAAACTCTGCGCGCCATGCATCCCTGAGGCTCTGGGGACAAACTCTCTCATAAACATATCCGAGAACTGGGTCCAAGTCAGTGTAGCAGCCTCGACTGGACTGTCTATCTCATAAGTGCGTCACCAATCATAGGCGGCTCCCCGAAGCTGAAAAGCAGTGAAAGAAACCCCGCTGGACTCCACTATGCCCATAGTGCGAAGAGTACGATTACACTCCTCTAGAAATCCCAAGGCATTGTCTGATGCTAATCCACTGAACACTGGGGGATCATACTTCTTGAACCTCTCAAGTCTCCGCTGCTCGTCCTCTGAAGCAGTTGACCCATCCTCGGGCTGAACTGGCGCTGCAGGCGGTGCCGGAATAATCTCGGGAGCCTGCTCATCCTGCACTCGCTGCTCAGGAGTGCGGACGGCGGGAGTCTGTGCTCCTCCCCCGGCCTGGGATGTGGCTGCAGCAAGGGGAAGCAACCCTGCCTGAGCCGAAGTGGTGTAAATGCTCTTGAACTGAGCCAAAGTCTCCCGGAGCGCTGGAGTTGTAGTGGCAGTAGTAGGTGTGCCAGGTGCCTGGGCTCCGGTTGGATCTGCTGGTGGTACCTCGGCGGCAGCTCACGCAGGTGCTCTAGCTGCACCACGTGCGCGTCCTCGACCTCTCCCCCGGCCCCGGCCTCTGACGGTTGCAGTAGGGGGCGCGGGTGCCTGATCATCTCGAGTAGCACGTGTCCTCACCATTTGTGAGAGAATAGAAGTCAGAAGTTTAGAATTAATGTCCAAAAATATCGCACGACAAGGAATTCAAATGAAATGAAGATTTTTCCTAAACAGTTACATAGCCCCTCGTAGATAAGTACAGACGTCTCTGTACCGATAAGCAAGACTCTAATAAACCGGCCTGTGTTCCGTGACTCCTATGAACCTAGAGCTCTGATGCCAACTTGTCACGTCCCCAGTTCACCCTCCATGAACATGTTGAGATGACACCTAGTCCCTACAACTAGGTAAGCCTAACAGCGCGGGACAACAAGATAACTTGCGAAAATAACTAATTAAGGCTGAGCAACCATAAGAAATTTGTATAAAACTGCCACTTGGCATACACAACTCATAATAAATGCGGAAGTCAAAAATCTCATCCCAAAACCCGAAAACTCACGGGAACCACAGGCTAATAGAAATACTGTAAATGCTCTAATCTCCAGAATGTCTACATCAAAAGTATGATAGAATCAAAACACTACAGATAGAATAAGGAAGGAGACTCTTCGGTCTGCGGACGCTGCAGATATACCTCGAAGTCTCCGTGTATCTCCTCGCCTCAAGGATAGTGCGCCTGAGTAGAGGTACCTGGATGATCTGCACATGAAAAACATGCATAGGAAGGGCATGAGTACACCACAGCGGTACTCAGTAAGTGCCAAGCCTAACCTAGGTTGGGTAGTGACGAGAAAGGTCAGGGCTCTACTGAAATAAAATATAATAATAAATTAACAGTATGAAAATCTGACAGTAATAATGAGTACAACAGTGATATAAGACAGGTCAAGTAAGGCAATAACATCTACACAAAGAAATGGAGTAAACACGGAATATGTACACCTCAATACCAATGATAACAAGAGGATCTCCCAAGATACCGTCCTGTAGTCCTTTTCTCAACTGCCCAGTGGGTCTCCCGGGATACCGTCCCGTAGCCCATCATATATGTAAATTCGGAGGATCTCCCGGGATACCGTCCCGTAGTCCAACTATCAATGTGCAGGGGGATCTATCGGGAATCTAACCCGCAGTCCCAAAGTAAAAGTGCAAGGGGATCTATCGGGAATCGAACCTGTAGTCCCAAAGTAAACAAACAGGGGGGGGGGGGGGGGGAGCTGCCAGAATCCCACATCCGTAGTCCCAATATAAATGCACAATCACAACCAGAATATGCACAGAAATGAAGTACAAAAGACAAGCAACAGGTAGTACTAGCCTAGCATGCTTCACGTAGTACAGTCAAGGTAACTTAAGCAATTAGGCAAGTTAAATCAACTAAACATGCTTTCCTAATCTAGCACAGGTTATAATAGCAAGTAGAATAAAGCAAGTGTGAAAGAAACTCAATCGCAATATCTTAAGTAAAAATCGGGTTTTCAACAATTGGCTCAAGTACGCGCTCGTCACCTCGCGTACAAGGCACTGAAATACCAAATAACAAATCCTAAGGGGAAAAAGGTCCCTCACACAAGGTTAGACAAGCCACTTACCTCGAACCGGCTCAATATCAACTAGAAACCACGCCCTTGCCACGAGTATCCGACTCCGAATGGCTCAAATCTATTCAATTCAATTACACATTGTAAATAACATCGCAAACAACTGGTTTTGCTATTTAATTCAAAGCTACGACGTGAAATTAGGTGAAATGACCAAAATGCCCTTCAGGCCAACGTCTCGGAATCGAATAATTTTCACATTTTCAGAACCCCCGTACTCTCACGAGTCCAACCACATAAAAATATCCCAAATCGGAGGTCAAATGCTCACTCAAAACTCAATGGTTTAGCCTATGAAGTTTTACCCAATTTCTTCCAATTTTGATCCCAAATTCGAATTCTAATGATGGATTTAACTACAAAATGATGAAATATAACTAGAAGGGATTAAAGAAACGTTACCCAATAGCCTTCTCTTCAAAACCCTCTAAAATCGCCCTTACCCGAGCTCAATTTGGTTTTTCTAACTTATGAAATCAAACCCTCGAAATTTCTATATCTGCACAGGCATTTTCGCTTCTGCGGACAAGGGACCGCTTCTGCGGTCCCGCTTCTGCGGAACAAGAGCCGCTTCTGTGGTTTTCATTGGGACCATCCGAATTCATCCCGAGGCCCCTGGGACTCAACCAAAAGCACCAATAACACCTAATACCTCATTCAAACTTGTATCAATCCTTAAACCATCTAAAACAACGCCGGAAACTCGAATTAATCAATTATTTGAGCCTAAGAACTTCAAATTCCATTAAAATACGTTTTCGATCAAAAAGCTAACCAAAACACGTCCGAATGACCTGAAATTTTGCGCACACATCCCAAATGACATGATGGAGCTACTGCAACTTCCGAAATTCCAATCCGACCCTCAGATCAAAAACTCACCATCGGACCGGAAACTTCAAAAATTCAAACTTCGGCATTTCAAGCCTAAATGAGCTACGGACTTCCAAAATACATTCCGAACACGCTCCCAACCCCGAAATCACCTAACGGAGCTAACGGAACCATCGAATTTCCATTCCGAGGTCGTCTTCACAATGTTCCGACTACGGACCACTTTTCAACACTTAAGCTCTCATTTTAGGGACTAAGTGTCCCAAAACTCTCCGAAACTCAACACCGAACGTCCCGGCAAACCAAAATAGTAGAAATGAAATTAGGGGAAGTAGTTAATAGGGGATCGGGGCGTAAATTCTTAAGACGACCGGATGGGTCGTCACACAACTGAATGGCTCAATATACATTGAAGACTGCTCTTCATTGTCCACCCTCAGGATCATCTTACCTTCTCGGACTTTGATAATTGCATCTCCAGTGGCCAAAAGAGGTTGTCCCAAGATGATAGGAACTAACTCATCAGCTATGTAATCTAGGATGATAAAATCTGCAGGAAAAATAAACTTCCTAGCCTGTAGCAATACGTCCTCAATTACCCCTTCGAGATACGTCCTAAAATCTTGGAGCTCGTAAGCCCAATTGTTTGAGCACTGACAACTACATCAGATTGATACTTTCACCCAAATCACACAAGGCTCTACCTACATCAAATTCACCAATCCTCACAGGGATGGTAAAACTACTCGGATCCTTAAGCTTTTGTTGAAGCTTATGTTGAATCCTGGAAGTGCACTCCTCAGTATGTGCTATGGTCTCAAACTCAGTTAACCTCTTTTTATTTTCCACTGTGTTCTTAATATATTTTGCATATTTTGGGACCTGATGGAGCATGTTCACCAAAGGGATGTTCAAATGTATCTGCTTCAGCATATATAGGAATTTGTGAAACATGTGGTCTTCATTCTTCTTTCTCAATCTTTGAGGAAAAGGTGGTGGCACCCTCTCTGTTTTTTGCTCAGACTCTATTTTGTTTCTCTCATTTACCTCTACAAGTTTTGGCACTCTTTCTTCTTCGAGCCCAGACTGTTCCTTTTTCTTCTTAGGCACTTCTACCAACTCTCTCCCATTTCTCAACGTCATTGCATTGAATTGAAGATGTTTCTCTGTATCACTTGGAAGAGCTCCAGCAGGTCTAGTATTCTAATTGTTAGCCATTTGCCCAAGCCGCCTCTCTAGATTTCTGAATTCTGTGCACAATTGTTGATTCTCAGCCATAACTTTCTGATTGTCCATCAAGAGATTTTTCATCATGTCAGTCAAATTCTTTTCTGCTTGCTATGGGTTTTAGGTGGATGATTGTAATTTGCTTGAGGCCTAATATTCTGATTTCCACCCCAAGAGAAGTTAGGATGGTTCCTCTAGTTTGTATTGTATGTGTTACCATATTGAGCATTTTGATTCATCGGCCCTCTAGCTTGTTGCCCCACATAGTAGATAGATTTAGGATTCACGGGGCATATCTCACTTGTATAACCTTCACCACATAACTCGCAGCAAGTAGACATCTGTTGCACATGATGCATTTGTTGTGCTTGGTGCATTGTCATTTTATTCATCTGATTTGCTAATCTCGCTATATCTGCCCTCACGGCTGAGAAATCATCGAGCTCGATCACACCCGTTGCCTTGTGTTTAAGTGCTCTTCGTGCTTCCCTATCTCATTGCCAATTATTATCATTAGCTGTGAAATTGTTTAGCAGGATCAGGATCTCACTATACGATCTTGCCATGCAGCTACCCCCACATGCTGAGTGAAGATTCATCTTTGATTCCTCGTCCAACCCATCAACGAAAGTGTGACCCAACACCTCATCAGTCTGACAATGGTGTGGTGAGTCTCTAAGTAGATTCTTGTATCTTTCTCAAGCTTGGCGAAGAGTCTCGCCATTTCGTTGTTGAAACCCCAAGAATCCGGCTCCTCACTGACTTTGGTTTCTTAGTGGAAAAAAACTTGATTAAGAATTTTCTTGCTAGATCATCCGAATTGTTGATTGAGTTTGCGGGCTCCTTTTGCAACCATTCCTTAGCTTCCCCTAGTAGTGAAAAGGGAAACAGTGTCAGCCTGACATAATTGTTACATCTCGTACTTTAATATTATGATAAGTCGTCGTAATCCATATGAGCTTGAAGGATTAAGAATATTTATGAGATTATAGAGGATTTGTGACTATGTTATTATAAGACCCCGTAAGTTTAACAATCTTGATACCGTTATATATATACATTTGATATGGTATTTTGAGTGAAATATTTTTTGTAAATTGTTTGAAAATATAATTTTATATAGTTATTAATATTACTATTTTCGAATATGCTTTAAATTATACACATAATATTCTATAGTTTATGAGATTTTCTTTATTGTAAATATAGAAATTATTTTCTCACAAGAAAAGAAGGTTATCTTTTTACCATTTTAAGAATTAAGAGTACGAAAATTGATACTCTTTATATGAGATTAGGCAAATTAGAAATTGAGAAAATATGTGCATTTTTTTACATGGATGTTTTAATGAAATAATAGTGTATGTATTAATTCATATAGTACCACATGACCATGATAATAAAGATATAAAGTGTGTTAAAAGTAAGTGGTATTCTAAGTAATTTGAGATAATTCTTAATTATGTGGATAATTGGTTAATTATTGGATTAGTGAGGAATTACCAAGTTAATTGGTAATTAATTAGAATTGGATAATGTTTATGGATCTTACCACCAATGTGGCAGCCCATTAAGTTGTTAAAAATCCACTAAGTGACTCATATAATACATGGAAAGGTGTCACATTATAAGAGTACACAACAAGGTGTATATTCTCCTTAGCCTTTTGAACGTAAATAGCATATATGTATTCACTTTAGCAACACAAGCTAATCTTTGCTTATTCCCCTTAAAATTAGAAGATACAGTATCACATTTCAGAGAGATTGCATATGTGATTTACAATGGTCGGAGCTGTAACGCGAGATTTTGCGATTCTAAGGAAGTACGGTGCAATCTTTCTCAAGAATATCATACGAATTTTTCGTACTCCGATCTTACCATCATGTGTTTGGTCGTAATTGACTAGTGTTAGAGGGATTGTCAAGAAATCGACTTAGGTATGTTAAGGCTAATCCTTCTTTCTTCTGGGATGATCCAGGTAACAATACGTAAACGTAATGATATTCCTAAGTGGTTCTACTCTTAGCAGTTAAGGTTGTCTATGTTATTCATTCCCGTAAAGTGATATTTAAGCATGTCTAAGTATTTATCTAGTTCCCTATTGAGGTATTTGATAAAGATGTTAATGTTTATAATATAGAGATACATGCATCTTCAAGCATTTACCACCGTGCTACGGCCGATCGGGCAGTTACCACCGGTTGGGCAGTTATGTATTATTATTTACCACCGGTTGGGCAGTCATGCATATTCATTTACCACCATGCTACGACCGGTCGGGCAGTCATGCATTTACCATCGAGCTAAGGCCGGTTGGGCAGTTATATATTTACTACCAAGCTACGGCCAGTTGGGCAGTTATACATTTACTACCGCGCTACGACTGGTCAAGCAGTTACCACTTATCAATTGGGCAGTCATGCATCATACAATATGGATAATAGTCTCAAAGAGAAGTATTATATATATAAGTACAATAAGTATTCATATACGGTGGCATTTTAGAGATTTAGGTTGATTCTTATATGTCTTTAATTAATGTTGGCTTATTGTTATGTTTCAGTTCTGCCTTACATACTAAGTACATTATTCGTACAGACGTCCTTTTATTGGGGACGCTGCATTCATGGCTGCAGGTATAGATAATCAGTTTGTCGAGCCCTCATAGTAGACGAGATTGGCATTCAGCAAAGGATCGGTAAGACTCCACCTCATTTGGAGTGCATCCGAGTCTATGAGTCATCGTGTCAGAGTTTTTCTAAAACTTATGGGTAAGCCGGTACCCTGTCCCCTTTGATGTCAAATAATCTTAGAGCCTTTATAGACAGAGGTTTATTTTGTACAGTATGTTAGAGGCCTTGACAGCCCATATGTATTCATGTTTTAAGAAAAATGATTCAGTGATACAGTGTTTTCCCACTTACAGTTGTACATTATGAGTTGTTTCCATGTGGGCCCATGATAGTTACATAGGGAATGAGTTCAGCCAACTCGAACTATGTATGTTCTAGTTTTGGTCAAACGATCATGAGTTATAGAGTGGTTCGCTCGGGCCATCGTGGCACCGGTAGCCAGCCACGCCTCCCCAGGTTCGGGGCGCGACAATAATCCTTGGAAACGTTCGTATAATTATAAGTGTTTGTAATTTCCAAGAAATTCGGAATGTTCCTCTCCGAGTCTTCATGAGATAGACCCACATATTGCCCTGTGGATTGAATTAGTTGTACCATGTACTGGAGACCCATGACATCAGGCTTCACAATCGCCTGAGTCATATTAGACAGATTGGGCCTTGCAACTTCTATCACCAGACGCTCTTCATTACCTGCCATCTCTCTTGGTTGTGGTTGAACTACGATGTCCAACTCTCTTTCAATTCTAGTTCTAGCTTCGACTTTCCTCGTCACTCTATGAAGTGTTCGTTCGATCTCAGGATCAAGAGGAAGGAGATTGTTCGTGCTTCTACTCCTCCGCATTCAAGAGAAGAGTCTGCGTTACGACAACTCAAGTAAACTAAAAATTAAAACTTGAAAAAATAATTAATAAAAGCTTAACTTAGATAAACAATCAATAACTAACTCCCTGGCAATGACGCCAAAAACTGTTCCCCAAATACACGCAAGTATACGGGCCGTCAAGTGATAAAGTGACTCAAAATCGGATGTCGAACCCACAGAGACTTAGATTGATCGTTAACTAAGAAAACAAAAATCAATTAATTGTCAAAGATAATCAAGAGCGGTGTTTATCTATTAATCTAATATTGCGGAAATTAAACAAGTAACAGCTAATTTATCAATAATGCAACTGTGTATGGTGAGATTTTAATTCATCGGAGATGAAAATTCCAGGGTTGTGGTTGGTTTATCAATCCTATTAAGTACAATAATCACACTCCTTAATCGAAATTATCTATGGTAGTTAATTAACTGGATCGTTTATATAAATAGCATGTTCCCACAATACTACTCGCCTATCCACAATATACCAATCATATATTCCTATGGTATTGAGTCTATCACGAACGAATATAATATGATATTCAATTAAGCAAGACTGTTAGGTATATTCCTATCCTAACCGCGAAATCGTTCCTCGAGCCACGGGTTCAGAAACAAGCTCTCTCAAATTATACTCTAATCTAAACACGGTTTTCTCAAGACTAGCATAGATGGTAGGGTTAATTGGTAGCTACAACAATTCACAAGTTAAAACTAGAAGTGAAGAAACAACCACAAAATGGTAATCCAAATTAACGAAGATTTAATTAATAAACGTTAATAGTCATGTCAAAGACAACCCGAGAAACTAGAGTGCTTAGCCACTCATGTTCGTAGTAATGATTTTCCAGTATTTTGCATAAACAAGTTACGAAGAAAAGATGAAGGAATGAAGAACTCGATGATTTTCTCCTCCAAAAGTTGTTCCACATGACGTTCCTGCCTCCGGTCGCAAAAAACTCCTCTAACGATGGTGTTTAATGAATATTTATATGTGTAGGGAAAAAGCATACACAAAATAACCAAATCCAAAACAAAAAAGGAGACAAAATAGGCTTTAAGACTTGGAACACCCTCGCTACAGACCGCGCGGCGCGAGACAAAATGCGAGATTCGTCTCGCTGCACACCGTGCAGTGCAAGCTTTGTCGCGCGCCTCCTCTCGATGTAAGAATCTCGGCGAACACTCAAACGTGAGCTTTAATCCTCGCCCCACCCGCTCTAACGCGAGCAAATTAGCTCGCTACGCCTACTGCTGCTTCGATTCAATTTTGTTACCTAACTTTTCAATTTTGTTTCTTATCTTTCTTCTTGCTCAATTGTCCCTTCCTTGTCATCGATAATTACTGTATCATCATATAATCATAAGCCCATTATTTTAGTGCATGAAATACACTTTAAATATTTACTTTGC